AAAATGCTTGACATATAATATGCCGAACGATCGTCGCGATTATCTCACGGTTATGGTTAACAACCATTCTCATACGGTTTTACTCGATGGTGGAGCTGAAGTCACAGTCATTTCACAAAAATTTTATGAGAAGTACAGATGGGGGCAGTTGCAACCTACCAAACCTCCATTGGTCTTGCCGATAATTCGATTTCATTTAAGGCCATTGGTAAAGTGAATGTATTATATACGGTTGGTAGTCTTACCCGACTTGTGCCAACTCTTGTAGTGCCTATCTCACTGAAACACCCAATTATGGGACGGACATTTCTTGAGGCCTTCTTTTTCGAACTGGTGCAGAACCAAGAGAAAGTTCAACGATTTTTAAAACATACAGCCAAAGGTGATACTGAAGAAGTTGCATTAATTTCCACACTCGGTTTAGAGGGTGAACTAGATACCCCAAAAATAATGAGCGTCAGCCTTTCACATAATCTCACCCCAGATCAAAGACAAATGTTGGACGCCGTTCTCAGACTTTTTAATCCAACTCCTGAGTCTGGTCCTTTAAACGTCACTAATCAGATCGAACACGTAATTGATGCGGATGATGCAAAACCCGTCATTAAACGCCAGTATCCAGTATCGCCATACGTGGCTGAACAAGTTCAAGCCGAATTGGATAAAATGCGTAGTCGTGACATCATTATGACCATCGAAGAAAGCCCTTGGCGGTCACCAATTCTGGCTGTAAAGAAGAAAGACGGAACGTGTCGCGTGTGCTTGGATGCGAGAGAGCTGAATAAAATTACCATTCCAAATGCCTATCCAATTACGGATACTAACCAAATTTTAGCACGACTAAAGTCAGCTAAATACCTAACCAGTATTGATCTGTCTCAAGCTTTCTTTCAAATTCCTTTGGCAAAATCGAGTCAACTGAAAACCGCTTTTGCATTCGGTAACAGACTTTATGCTTTTCGTCGCATGACGATGGGGTTGAGAAATTCACCCGCCACATTAGCCATTCTCATTGATAAAATTTTCCGTGATTTGGTTCCACATGCATTCGCATATGTCGATGATTTCATAATTTGCACTTCGACGTTTGAAGAACACGTTAAGATATTGGCTATTGTTGCAAAACGTCTGGCGGGGCCGGCTTAACCATCTCAACATCCAAATCGAATTTCGGTTGTAAACGATTGGAATTCCTGGGCTACGTTTTGTCTCAACAGGGTTTATCTGCGAATCCATCTCGTATTCGAGCGATTGTTGAATTTGCACGGCCCAAAACGGCAAAAGAAGTCAGAGGGTTCGTTAGTGCAGCAGGCTGGTACCGTGAATTTATTCCAAATTTTTCGGAGATCACAGCTCCCCTTTGTGAATTGTATAAAGGAAACCGAAAAGGACCCATTGAATGGAATACCGCTGCTGAACAAGCCTTTCTCAGACTCAAAGAGTGTTTAACTACCACTCCCGTTCTGACTATGGCCGATTATTCAAAACCATTCAAGGTTTATACCGATGCCTCGCTTATCACAGCGGGAGCTGTTCTAGTACAAGAACATGATGGGAATGAACGTGTGGTTCAGTATTTTTCTAAGAAATCCTCGAAAGCCGAACAAAATTACACAGCATCCGAACGGGAATGCCTAGCCGTTCTCTTAGCGGTCGAAAAGTTCCGTCCATATTTTGAGGGTCGTGAATTGGTTGTGGTAACGGACCATGCAGCTTTGCGCTGGCTACAAACTCTCAAAGAACCAACTGGCCAATTATGCCGTTGGGCGATCCGATTTTCACTATACGATCTCAAAATTATTCATAAACCAGGAAAACATTTGGAACTTCCCGACGCCTTATCTCGTTCTTTTGCTCTTCTCAACATCGTTCGTAGAAATCCAATTGACCGTCCGAGTAATTTTCATGTTAATCGTATCCCAATCACATCCGTGATCAACATTGACCCAAACACGTGCGATAAATGGTACAACAAAATGCATGCCATGGCCTCAAAACAACCATCAGATAGATATAAAATCGAGAACAACCTTCTATATCATCGATTAAAATTTTCCAATCAAAGTGCGGAAATACTGTGGACACTTTGTGTACCATCTTCTGACAGAGCAAAAGTCCTCGATGAAAATCATAACCAACATTCGCATCAGGGTTTTTGGAAAACTTATAGACGTATCTCACAATGCTATTACTGGCCAAACATGTATGAGTCCGTTTACCAGTACGTTCGGCAATGTGAACTATGCCACTGCAATAAACCAAGTAATGAGAGCACCAGAACACCCCACGGCGAATATAGAGAACCTAAACGACAGGGTAGGCAATTATCGATTGACTTCGTCGGTAAGCTTCCCATGTCTAAAAATCGTAACCAATGGATCTTCGTAGCCATCGACTGTTACTCGCGATATGTCTGGGCGCAGCCCATGAAAAATGCAAACGCCATATCCGTAGTCAATTATCTTCGACATATATTCACGGTGAATGGCTGCCCCGAACTCATTATATCAGATAATGGTACTCAATTCATCAGTCAAACTTTCGCAAAGCTTTGCGCCGATTATAACATCAAACACATGAAAACGCCTTTGTACCATCCACAAGCCAATCAGGTCGAGGCGACAAATAAAAGCATTAAACTTGGATTACGTGCTCACATGGCTGACCTTCTTGAACATTCCCCCTGGGAAAACCATCTTTCTCGTGTTATTCATGATATTAACACTTCAGTGCATTCAGCCACGGGCTACACGCCATATTTCCTGCACACTGGTCGTGAATATGTGAAAGATGGAAACGAATATAAATTATTATTGGATGTAAATCCATACCATACACAGGATGTGGAACAGCGTAAAGTTCTGGCTGATGAAATTCGAGACAAACAGTTCGAACAATATCAACAAACCGCGCAACGGGCATTTACCCGCAAAAGCGAACGAAATTTCGAGATAGGCTCGGAAGTGTATATTCCCAATCCTAAACAGTCCGTGGCCGGAGAGGGCTATGCACAAAAACTAGCCCCACCAAAAATTAGAGCCTATGTTTCACGGAAACTGAACGAGTCAGGATGGGGTTGATGAAGATCATGTAGAACGATTTCGATGTAAGGTCTAACGTCGATCAAACCACAGCCCGTGAATCGCTGAAACCGCTGAAAATGAGAGGGGGATAATGATCTATTATTTTTTATTGCCCAAATAATAGACATAAGAACGATTATAAGAAATGTAAACATTACAAAACTGTCAAAGCTAAACTTCAAAATGGAGGGGATTGCCAGATTAATGTACGTAACCAATAGTTATTCAAGACAAGAACCATCATATCGGTATAGACACGAATTGACATGGCCACTATGAAAACGCCCACACTGACATACGATAAAAGAATCGGTGGTCACATACCACGAGGCTAGAAAAATATCTTTTCTTTTTGGAATTGGACACGGAGCGAACCACACTCATCAGCCCTCGCAAGAACGGAATTACAACCAAGTAATTAAAGTGGATTAAAAGCTTGTATTAAAAGCTGGCGACATGCGGGGAGTCGATACTCACCCCTCAGTGGAAATTCCTTCCGGCAAATCCCCAGCCATGTTCTTGCATAGAATAAAGAAGTTGTGAGCATCAAATCTGGACTATTCATTTAACAGCAATTGAGTCACCATAAGCCGGTAATACAAAATCATTACTCGTAAGTCAGCCACTTTCTTGCCACCATCTATTGGAAACGCGCTATCCATCAACCCTAAATAAAGATTCCTGTTTGGACCGACAAACCAAGGTCAAGCAAATCAAAGTGCCAAAATGCCAGAGCGTAAGCAAAATGCGCTCACTAAAAGAGAATAACAGAAAAGGAAAGGAACGCAAAAAACCAAATTTTTAGTCCAAAGAATGGCAACAACAAAGCTAACATCACATAAGAATGGAAATGTATGTACCAAACACATTCACACAAGCACAAACACAATAAACACTTACTATATCAATTATTTTTTGCCTCCTTCCAATTTCAATTAAGTTTTTCTACTTTTTAGATTATTCTCACTTTTGCGTATTTCCGTTAATTTAAATTCAGTTGAGTTTGAAACTTTTCAGGATTTTGCCAGAAAAAATTCTTCTGACTAAATCTGACTACTGCGGACTGATGAGAGTCCTCTCACTGAGTGTTGCTCTCTCATTTTTGCTGTCATTTCCGAGTTAAGGAACGCTTTTGGACTAAATCTGACTACTTCGGACTTTTTCTGACTATTTCTGGGAGATAAGGAACGCTCCTATTGAGTCATGTTTCACGTTTAATTATTGAATCATGGGTGAATTTTGCGTTGAGCACACCAAAATTGTTTACATTATAATGAATAAAATATATAAGTTTTTAGTGATATATTTAGCGATATTTTGACATATATGGCTAAAATGAAGTATTGTTGTTGTATGTATGGTGAAATATGGACAATTTGTGCGTTTGTGTGGGTGTAGTAAGGGAATAAAAAAGGTGCTATTGTGGAAGTTTTTTGTTAACAACTTTTGATCAGGTAAAATAAGTTAATTTCCGCTTTCGGATTCTTGTTACTGGGGTCCAGAACAATTGTGGTACATTTTAGGGGTTGAAAGCCCACGAAGATAATTGCCAATAATTTTAATGCACTACAATTTTTCATTAGCATAAGTTTGAATAATTTAATACAAAAAAATTTTATTAGCATTATATTTTTCAGAACTAATGAATAAAATTTTTATTTGCATAAAATTAAAATAATTGATTTTTCACAACTCTCGTCTGTAGGCATATACATATGTAATAAATGAATATTAAATCAATTTTAAATCTCAGTCGCGTTGTATATTATTACACATGTGGCATAGACTTTCCTTTTGTTCGCTGTCCATATCAAAAAAAGTTTTTAGATCAGAAAGCGACGTTAGACACTAAGCGTGAATACTCCACCGCCAAAAGGGTCGAAGATTTTTCTACAATCAAGGAATTACAAAATCTGCATAAATCAAATCTGCTATTACAGCCCCCAATTTCATTGGATAGCTCTTTTTCATCTGGTCTGGTATAACTATTCGATGCTATTTTACATCCGGTACGAAATATTGTTGAAACCGTTGAATCGTAATTTTTTTGTAGATTTTGTATCAATAGTTCCGAACGCCTTGCAAACTTGCGACACTGTTGATTGGGAATTAAAAGGTGTTTTGATCGGTTTTAAGCCTTTACCGTGCATGTACAGCATGACTTCCCATTCGCTTAGATCTTTAATAGGGCGCATGAACTTTACACCATTTCCCATACGATCGTCAAGGAATGCAACATCCAAAGCAGCGTCGTTGTCACGCCCAAGTACGATCGCTGCCAATAGATCAGCTGCTATATTGACATTAATCGAAGGTATAAAGACATATTTGCAATTTAGACCCTGCGCTACAGATGCGATCAATTTATTACGATGCACCTTTATAACCTCGCTGCGGCTAGTTGATGATCGAATATTAAGCAAAGTATTCGTAAATACTATTTCTCTGTCCGTTCCTCGGGACAAGTACGACCCTAAATTGATAATATCAAATGGTTTCTGGTGTTCTTCACAACTTAAATTAATAATATAAGCCTCTGGACCTTTATAACTCAAAAAAAGTTCTTGCACTTTTTGAACGTAACTAATAGAATTCGATGCCCTTATGTGCCTTGGAGTCAGAGCGCAATCATCAATAAAGAGAATTTTAAAATCACAATGCAGCCTTTTAAAACTTGTTTCTGTGTGTGCCTTTTGTAGAATATCTAATAGCACAACAGCTTGTGCACTGCCATCAAACACTAAAAGTATATTAGCATTCCGGGGTAAGGCTTTGGATGATCCTACTGCTGCTCGAAATTTATGATTCACATATTGTAAGCAACCCTTGCATTTCGGCTCTTTGTAAAATAATTTATACATTTCTCCTTCTTGTCCACATTTTGTTTTTTTTGTGTTGTCAAAAGAAATGTGATGGCTGGGCTAGTATGCCGACAAGGCCAGGGTATTCAAACTCAGTTTGTTTGATGTAGTGCAATTTCCAGTAGTCGTCAGGAACAGCTGCTTGTTAGCTTCTTCGAGCTCCACTCCTTGGATTGGTATAGCTTTCGCCGCGCGATTACTCGGTCGGCTCTAATTGAGCTTGGATGGCGTTTTATACAAGCGATTGCCTTGTTAGGCAGTACGTGATGCAACGTTGCAAACAATAGGGGTATTCTCGAAGTCTTGCACGATGCACGGATTGCACGAAATGCAAAAATACTATTCCAAATTTCGAAGAGTACGAGAACACCCCATTGCAAAGAGGTAGCATGCATGGGGAGCAAGCAGCGAAATTATGTATCAAATACAATAACAAGAGACAGCAAAAAAAAATTAAGTGAGCGAGATGAGAGGAATGAGAGAAATATGTAGCAATTCCAACAACAAAACAACTAGCACAGGGTCGCTATTATCTTGCTATGCTATTTTGCAAAATATATACATGGGTTTCGACGTTGCATATTTTGCAGCGATAGGAAATGTTGTTTCCCATGAATTTTCTTGTTGTGTGTTTGCAATTTATGCAATCCGTGCAATCCGTGCTACGTGCAATGGCTTTGCAAGATTTGGAGAATACCCCTAATGTATACCGATTGCGACATATATTCGCGTTAGGCAAAATACTGCCTACTTCCAGCGCGTGCAATGAGCAAAAACGAAACAAAAAAAAACAAAACAAAAAACCAAAACAAAAAAAAACAGAATCACAAATCGTGTATTGGCCCCTTCAGGTGCTAACTAGAACGATACAATTAAGTAATTGAAATATTTATCAGGTACCATTTGAGTAGGTGATTAGTTCATATAACTTATAATTAAATCAACAGCCTTATACATATACGTATGTATATGTGTTTGAACTTATGTTTATATTTAAGATTTTATTATTGTCTGGTTTTTTGAAAAAACGAGTTAAATTTATTATTTTATTTTTATTTATTTTTTCCAATTAAATATCAATTTCAGCTTCTTTTATAAAGTTACATAACTCTCTGAGAGTTTTAAAGTCCCGCTTTTTTAAAATTTCTGTGCCATCCGTGTGATTTTTAACTGCATCGTACTTATTTCTTATTGTACTGTATTTATTGCAAACAAAGATCATGTGGGAATAATCTTATACTGTATGACATACTTCGCAAACGTTGGAATCAACTATTTTGATCCTGTTTAAATAGACCTTGTCATAAGTGTGACCCGTCAAGAGTCTGTTAATTGTCTTTATTTCGCTAGCGTCAAGTGTTGAGTTATGATACCAAGGCTTATTTGGTATCTCTGCGAAAAACTCCGCCAGTGTTATACTGGGTATTCCATTCTTCTCTGAGCTTGATGTTAATTTGTCTTTCTGCTTCTTCAGGGGTGAGTTCGACTGTTACTGGAGCACCAACGTCGACTGCCCACTTAGCTAAGTAATCTGCTGTCTCGTTTATTTCGATACCCACATGTCCAGGTGTCCAGACAATTTCACACAATATCTTGCTACTATTAAGTGCATTGTGAATCCTGGCTGTTATGAAATTATTAGACTCACTTTTTTCTAAAAGGTGGCAGGCCGTTAGACTATCCGTGAAAATTACTATTTTTCCACGTTTGTCTTCTATTGCTAAGTCAATTGCTTTTGCTATTGCCCACATCTCCCCGAAAACTGACGTCCTGAAATCTATGCAAAAAAGAAATTTCTGTTTATGCGTGGCATTGTATACACCGCATCCCATCGACTTCTCTCCTCCTGACGCATCTGTCGCAAAAATTGTAAAGTCTCTATCCCTATAGCCATGCATTAACCTATTGTATTCGGATTTAACTGTTCTTTAGGCATATCTGATTTTTTACCTGAAAGCAAATTTTTTGTTATTTTTAGCTGTTTATTCATTGTATACCGAGTTTCTGTGCTTACTTTATTAAAAATGTCTTTAAATTGGTAGTAAACTGCCGAGTAGCTGGAGTTTAATTGCCTATTTTGCATGACAGTATTGTAAACAGTGCTGTTAGTCATTTTGAGTTTTAGTAATTCCCGACTGGTAAGAAGTTGTTCCCTCTCCCTAGGTTCAAATTCATTTGCTAACAGATAAATATTGTGAGTTTGAGTCGACGGGGTTAGGCCTAAGCATCTACATACATAAGGTATTGTTTTGGAATGCCTTGATTTTGGTGTAAGTGGCTTTGGGCAAATCATGTGTCGTGGACCGCGCTATTTCAATTTTAGATCTAACCAGGCTTTTGTATAGATTAACCGCAATCTTTGGTGTGACTCCTGCTTTGACCGTCGTGATCATTCTGATTAGTTGGACATTATTGGATGCTTTTTCAATTAATTTTTTGTAGTGCGCAGTTACTGTAAGAGAAGACTTTAGTGTACGATCTATGAAGCTGATTTGATTTACCTGTTCTATAGAGTGGTTGTCTATTTTGATCTGAATCGGTTTCCTACAAGCTCTGGCAAAATGAATTAATTTGGTTTTTTGAATATTGGTTTTCAGGTTAAGCTCGCTACAGGTATCCACAAAAGCATTGAGTTTTACTTCGAGCTTTGTTGTCATATTCTGGAAATCTCTGTCATGTACTAAGATGAGGAAATCATCGGCAAACTGGTATATGTCCGTGGACGTATCCTCAAAGTCATGGAGTGCTTTTGTGTACAGGTTGAAAAGGAGAGGCGAAAGGCAGCTGCCTTGTGGAAGACCGTCATTGATTGTGACAGTTTCGTCACCTAGTTGTAGTATCCTTTTTTGTAGAAACGATTGAATCCACCTGGTATATAAGCTATTGATTTTGCATGTTTCAAGTATTTTCGTCAGTTCTGATGTCGGTACACAATTGTACGCATTGCTGATGTCTACAACCACAGCTGCAACCTTTAGTCCTCTATCCTTGTAAATTGCAATGTTATGTAGTATTTCGTTAACGCACATCGATGCCGATCTGCCCTTACGGTAGGCAAAACATCTACTTGGAAGGATGCCATTTGTTGCCAATTCCGGGTCTATTCTTGCTTTAATCATCAAATTGATGATTTTAAGCAGCACAGGGATTAACGATATCGGTCTGTAGTTTTTGTAGTCGCTGCGGTCTTTGTCCACTTTAGGTATCGGTATGACTTTGATGATACGGCACTGGTCTTCAATCTGTCCCTTCTGAAATGAACAATTAAGAGCTACAACAAGGTTTGTTTTAGCCTCTTGCGAAAGCGCACGGATCATCTCGTATGTATATCTGTCATGTCCACCTGCAGTTCTTTTAGTTTTATTCATAAGGAGTTCAGCTCATTTAAGCTAAAGTTTTGCACCGTCTTGCCTTGAGTTTCCAGACACGGCAAGCTTGAAAAGTTTTTATTGATGGACACCTGACTTTTTAGGTGTTGCAAAAAAAGATGGTTTGAGTTTTCCAGCCATTGTGGGTTGTGGTTTTTCTTGGGGTTGCCTTTTCCGATATTTATGAACCTCCAGGCCTCTCTGGTATTTGGATGTTTATTTAGTGTATTAACACTGTCTAAAAAGTTACTTCTTTTCGCTTTTTGGACTTCTTTTTTCCAAATTTCTTTACACTCAGTCGCCTTTTTGAAGTTCTCCTGGGGTAGCTATTTGCCTTTCTTGTAGCAGCAATATACAGTCTAAAATGTTTGTTAAGAACCTCATGCCACCACGCTTTAGGAGTTTTGTTATTGAGAGTAACAGTTGCCTTGCCTATTTCCCTAGAGATAGGCCGTGTAATCTCATTTGTAGTGGACTCCAAGGGAGTCGAACTGAGAGAAGCGAGCATTTTTTTTTGACAAAAAAGTTATGTTTTTGAGTTGAGAAGAATCAATATTTACAGCAATAGGGTAATGATGGCTACCACCAAGATGGTATTGTATTACCTCCCAGTTGGTTATAGACGAAATGTTAGTAAAGGTTAAATCTAAGACGGAACCTATGCTTATGTCATTTAGGTTAGGTTTGAACGTTATTGCACCATTGTTAATGCATTTGAAAGCAGTCATCGGAAAATGAACCAAGCCATTTTCCCTTGGGTGTGTCGATTGTATCAACCCATTTTTTGGAGCGGGCGTTGAAGTCGCCCATTATGAGGACATTTTCATAATTTTCAAGCGTATTAAACAGGTTTGTGATTACTGCTTTGAAGGTACTTAGGTCCATGGACGGTTCACAGTAGATAGAACAGATAACTAGGTTTTTCGTCAGGTTTATGGTTTGCACTTTGCAGATATCGTGATCTACTTGAAAGTTTACTTTTTTAAATTTAATAGGTTTTCGGAGAGCAATAGCTACTCCCCCATACCCATCAGATCTTTTCTTTTCCACTAGATTGAAATTAAAAATATTTTTATTTTTACTTGTATCATCATGTGAGAAAACCTCACTGAGACACACTATGTCAAAGTTTTTTTCGTTTACAAAGAAGTCAATGTTGTTAGAGTTTTTTTTCAAAGACTGGCAATTATATTGTAGCACTTTCATTCCAGGTTTCTACTTCTTCCTCTTGCTCTCTACTAATTTCACCACTCTCCAGGCTCGAAAATTTTTGCTTCAGTCTCTCGTTAAAGTGGCAAAAGGCATTAACACCTGCAGGGAAATTTACTTTCCGAAAGGCGTCTCTTGCAAACTTAGTCATTTCTGACGTCATTCTTTGTATTTCAGACACGAGTTGTCGATTTGGGTGATTGAAAGCTATTCCGTTTTGTTGTGGATTAGGTTGAACCCCCCTTTTTCTTATGGGTTTATTTTGCCTGTTTCTGCCCGGACTAACTGATCTTGGTCTTTGTTTCCTCAGAGTGTTTGCAAAAGAGGTACGTGTTGACAACTTATTTAGGTAATTTTGATTATTTTTAAAAGGATTATGTTGCCTGTCAAGTTCAGGGAAATGTTCTTCACTAAGGATCTCAAATCTATTCGACGACTCCGCCTTAATTTTATTAATGACTTCTTTTCTGGTTTGTTTTTTTAGGGCCATCCTTTTTACTAGCTGATCCTCTTTATCCCACTCTGGGCATCTATTTCTATCAAAGGCTATATGTGTTGTGTCACCGCATAGGATGCATTTCACGGAGTCAC